GTTATCACATCGTTGTTATGCCAAGCCGATGTGTTGTCAAGAATTCTGTTGAATAAATAAGTTAAAGCTGATTCAGAACAGTTCGGATTGCTTAGAATCTTTAACTTCTCCAAATGTCTTACGGACGTGCCAAATATCTGTTAGCTTTTTTATTAGCCAGAGTTTGGTCCTGTATTTTCTGTATTCTACAGACAAAAAGTGTTCTTTGGAATTAGGGTGAGACAGTACTCGAATACAGAATTAAAATATGAAGAGTACTTATAATATGTAGGAATGTTGGTGGTTCCTTGTGTTTACTTGTACAAATTGTCGGGCTTCAGCAAAATCAGTGTGAATAAAGCTTATTTTGTCAGCAAGCAGTTCGGCTCTTGTTCTGTTTTCCATTGAAGAGAATTTCTCTTGATGATCTGTTTCTTTTGAAAATTGCGTTGTTTCAAGAAAACTCAACTCAAAAACTTGTGGGCCAAGGCTCAATCCTCTAGTTAAGTGTGTGGTCTATGATCTGTCTTCTTCAGTCGCAGAACGACATGCGAGTTTTTCATGCTAAAAAAATTGCAGGCAGATACTCATTTCCAAAGACAACAAATATACTGCATCAAATTGGAATTTCTGTGACAACAAAGACGTTGAAAAAACATTTCTTGTGGACATTTATCTCTAAAGTTATCTATGAAATTCTCTCTTAAGCTTTGAAATTCCTGCAAAATGTGCATTTCCAAAGACAACAAATATACTGCATCAAATTGGAATTTCTGTGACAACAAAGACGTTGAAAAAACATTTCTTGTGGACATTTATCTCTAAAGTTATCTATGAAATTCTCTCTTAAGCTTTGAAATTCCTGCAAAATGTGCATTTCCAAAGACAACAAATATACTGCATCAAATTGGAATTTCTGTGACAACAAAGACGTTGAAAAAACATTTCTTGTGGACATTTATCTCTAAAGTTATCTGTGAAATTCTCTCTTAAGCTTTGAAATTCCTGCAAAATGTGCTGGAGATTGTTCAGAGCGCAACTTCCAACCAAAAAAAAAAAAAACCTCAGCTTTCATATTAAACTCGCTTTGGAAAATCTAGTAGCAGTACAGCACTAGAGACTTCTTTCTCCCTTGAGACCGACATTTGTCATGTAGGGCATTTATATTGGCTAGGTTGGTAACCAAAATCTTCCCAGGATTTTATCCGGTTAATCTTAAAAAAACCTTATCTTTCTTTAATAAAAACTTAGTTTGTTTGATTTTGAGATTTGGATAAACAGTTGAAACTTCAAACCACCTCTTTCATTATAAAGAATTGTGAAGGACTCAAGCATTATTATTCTTGATAAAACAGCGGTTCCTAATTGTTTCAATCATTGGCAAACTTACAGATGTTATGTTTACTCTAAGAAGGAACTCCTCTGACATGATTGATATTAATCACAGATGGACCTACTAAGATAATTAATTGGCATTCCTTCATTTAAAACAACTGCGTTGTCCTTTTCCTATATGTGTAATCATACACGTAAACATATTTCCTCACGTTCGTGTGCTAATCACTTGTTCATTAAGGGCCAAACATTATGCTGCAACAGGTAAAGAGCATCACCGGCTTCGCTAAATTCATTCAGAGAGAGGGAGAGATTTAGCTCCGTGTGAGATTGCAAATTACCTGTCACATTTTTCTTCAGACGTCTCATTCTCAACACTTGTTTTTTTTTTTTTGTTTTTGGATGAGAATTTGTTGTCCCAGACAAGGACCGCACAGAATCCAAGATGTCCATTCACATGGAGATATATCATGTTAGACCAAAAAATGTTATTGGTTCAAACAATTGAAGCTCAGTGCAGTTGAGTTATCCACGCAAGAAGAAGGTGGCCCAGAAGTTTTGTTTCAAGCTTCAAAAACCAGGACAGAGATGGTGTCCGTAGCTGTTAGCAGTGAGCAGGTAGATTTATATTCCTCACCACATTTCAAGGCTTTACAGCTCATGTAATTACCAATAGCATGTGCCTCTCCTTTTCATATGGCAAGACAGTTGCGTTATGCATCCACTGCTTTGACTTTCAACTAAAGCTGAAACTATATGCTTTTATTCTTAACAAGATGGAACCCCATCCTCTTGGATCCTATTCCTCACCAGTGGATCAGCATGATTTATTTTCCCTTCAATTGTTGACATGGAACACTTTCATCATTGCGTTATTTTTCGTAAATGCTTGAAGTCCCACTAGACTAGTTTTCATGTTCAAGACTAAATAAATCTCTCTTCCACTAGGAATCTTAGGCAGTTCAAATTTTTGAGTTCGCAATCTTCCCTCAGGTAAAGATTATCTGAAACTTGATTTTGCGAAGAGCAGGACACTAATTATCCAAGTCAATACCTGAAGATCTTTGTGTTTTTATTTGTTTTCTGTGTTATCAACGCATAAATTGTTTTAATATTTTTCTCATTAGTCAACAAATAGATTATACTAAAACAACTTGCATGTAATTTAATTTAAAATATAAACTAAATAAAGAGTTTGCAAGGAGCTTCTAAAGATTATCTAAGTTTTTTTTTATAATTTAGATTATTTATTGCTTTTTTTAAACCTAACTCATAACTTAGGTTGGTAAATAAACTATTATATTCTATTTAAAACTCAACCATGGGACATATATCTATATAACATCATTTTCAAAAGCCAAGATTTTATAATAATAAAAAAAGAATTAGACTCCCAGATCTCATGGAGTAAAGAATAATAACCAGTTAACATATCCTGTAAAAGAATTTATTAACGATAGATCGAGAGTTCAGGCAAGGCAAGGATGAAGAGATGTTGGGCTATTACAACATATTTCTCGGGAAAGTACATTTGCATGGAGTGGAACTTTGTGTCTCGATATTCTTCACATATGTTTCCGTGGTGTCAAGAGCATATTTTCCGGGAATGACCAAGTTATGTATCTAGTCGATGAATTCAAATTTCACATTCTAAAAAACCTTCTTTAAGAGTTTAAAAACTCATAGTTTCAGGTAAGCTGTCTGGATTCAGCCTCAAGAGTATCAGTTGTAAAGCCATTTAATTCCACTTATTAAATTCATATAATTGTTGGAAGATGAATCGTCAAACAAAAATAAATAAGAAATGAATTATTGGCATAATTAATAAAATATAAGTGGATAAAAGTTATTTACATAATTTGTGGTATAATTAGTACTATTATTTATGGTTTTATCCCTTTATTTTTGTCTATAAATAAGCAATGCATATAAGTTTTAAATATATATTAAAATAGAGAAAAAAATAAAAAAAATAAAGAGAGAGTAATCTCACAAAAATTATGAGGTATTTATAAGGGAATAAGTGAAGTGTTTTTTCCTAATAATAAAAAGATTCTTAGTTGTTATTTTATTATTTAAGAAATGTTGTAATTCTTATATTACTTAGTAAAATCTTTTTATATTTATCTTTAGACATAGTCTAATTGGGTAAACTATGTAAATTTTTATGTTTTATTTTTTATTTTATGATATCCCTTGTTTTTTTTCCTTTTGGATTTGCATTTCAGTATCCTAACATCAGTCTTGAAAAAAAAATTCAACAACCCTCGAAGGCTTAGTATAAGAAAAAAAACCAAAATCTCATAGGCGGGCTAGAATCTGTTTGAAAGTGTGGTTATAATTGCTTTTCTAAGTGCTTTTTATTTGAAAATATATTAGTATTATATTTTTTTTATTTTTAAAAAATTATTTTTGATATCAGCGTATCAAAATGATCTAAAACACCAATAAATATTAATTTAAATTAAAAAAAATTCTATTTTTTTCAAAAACATTTTTAAAACGCAAAAATAATCAGGACCTTAATCTTAAAAATAACTTAGCGTTAAAAAAATAGCTCAGCATTATAGACTAAACCTCATAAAACAACCTAGATAAGCTCAACTACACTTTAAATCCTTTTCTTTCTATAACCTTAAATCTATAAAATTCATTTTTTTATTCAAATTAATATTGTGTAAAATATAATGTATAAAAATCTTTCAATAGCTTCCTATATTTTCATCATATTAATATATATGTTGGTAACATTTATTTTTCATTGATACAATAAGGTAAAATTATTCTTTAGCTTTTTCTATCCATAAAAAAAAAAGACTCGTGAGCCATAAAATTATTCTTAATTTTTATTTTCTATTATATATTTATTTTTAAAGTTTTTTTAAAATATAATTATTTTTTAAAAAAATATATTTATTTAAACATTAAAAAATCTTTAAATTCATCAAAAAAACATATTTAGCAAGTTTAAGCCACCAATTATCTTAACTTACTAAACAGATACCGATTACCAAAAATAAAAAAAATCAAAAGTCATAAATCTTGAACTCAAGCTATTAAGATTTTTTAAATCATCATCTCTGACTAGTTTCTCTTGTATTTTGAGGGTGGGATTTCTCATCATAAACCATTGACCTTCGACTTATAATTAAGCTATTAAGATTTTTTAAATCATCATCTCTTACTAGTTTCTCTTGTAGTTTGTGGGTGGGATTTCTCATCACGAACCATTGGCCTTCGACTTATAATTAATGATAGCTGCACCAATTTAAACAATAGCTTATTCAGTAATTAAATTATACTCTCACGCGAAAAATTATAAGGCATCAACTCACTAGGGGTAACTTTTTTCTTTTCTTTCCAATGATATATATCTACTTCATCTGATTTTTTCTCATAGCAAATTTTTTTTATGCAACTTATTTTTATACAAAGGAAATTGCACCTAATAATTTCTTTAAAATACATGATTTCATTTTCTTTTTATAAATAAGAAGTAACAAACTGCCAAACCCGAATGGCAATACACTCGGTAAAGCAGAGTATTTGACAGAGAGGATGATTTGTTAGCGTTGGTGGGATTTTGGTTTGCTGAGTCTTGTAAACTGTACCTGCCATCATGTAGATGGTCCATTGTTTCTTTAGTCTAAATAAATAAAAAAAAAAACTTTCAAAACCAGCCTGCATGTGCCAATGATTAATTTTATAATCCAAAGCAAAACCTAAAAACAATATTCGATGAACCAAACAAATTCTAATGACGATGAATTATATTTTCTATGAATGTGACTAACTGGGCATACTCTGCAGATGCCCTTTCAAAAACCTTGCAGCTATACATTGATGGTAAAAACAACCAATACCCCGTCAACATCACGAACCCAGTTGTCAGTAGCCCAGAAATCACCGTCGGCAACTTCCACCTGCCGCCAAAACACTTCTTCAAAACACTCTCAACTATGAGACACAGTCCATGGAGGAGAAAGAAGCAAGTCAACTCCATTGTGAGCTTGTCACGCCCTAGGTAAAAGAACATGAGCTCGTGCATGATGCCTGAGACAAAAAATGTCCCCATGACTGCTGGAATCCGAGCCCATTTTCTGCCCACAAGACCAGAGGCTATGTTGCCGGTGGGTTCATAAACGGCAATTCGAAGGATACTTGAAACCATGAGGTTCCATCTTCTACCCCAGAAGTCTTGTAATGAAGTGGAGAGGTAGGGCTCATTGAACTGTGGCTCCAACTCTTGTCCTAACAACACTTTAGCCATGGTTGCTACTATGGCTAGTAATATTTCAAGTTGGATATACAAGTACATGACATAAAGCAAGGAAACGACCTTCGGATGGATATAGTCACTATAATTATGAACATTCACCAATATAGCCAAAAGCAGAGTCTTGACCCCATAATTTGGAGATGATCTTTTACCATCTTCAAGCTTCTGGGAATGTATATGTGATTTTGGAGATGAGTCATTAACGTTGTGTTGGATCTTGATGGGTAGACAAGCTACAGCCCCAAA